ATGAAAAGTACAACAAAGTATTAGGGCCAAACTGAGATTTTTTTAAATAACCGTATCTCGTGAATAAAGTCATAATATTACAAGAAAAAGTAATGATATTATGAGAAAGCAGTCTGACCACTGTGTCAACATGAGGGATCTTGAGCATCTTGTGAAGTTATACTTCGGTATCGGTTTTATAAATAAGGAAATACTTTTAACATGTCATCATCCAAATAGTATCAGTAGCAGCCAGATTTTGAAACAATTTTGCAAACGACTGTATGAATTCCTATGATAAACTGAGGCTGTATGGCATTACAATTAATGACTGCATTGATGGATTTAATCATCACATAATGTAGATGGAAGCATATTGCAATCTGACCCTGGAATGGAAAATGGATATGTCGTAATTTTATGGCTTTTATTCTCACAATGACATGTTTCTCATGCTATTATGACTTTATTTGTGTAATATCATGACTTTAATTTCGTAATTAAAAAAAATAAAATCTTGTGTGGCCCTAACACTCCATCGTAGAAAAGAAATGAAGCACACTTATACACTGTTTTTGTAAGCAGCCTAAAATGTAAAGTTTGGGTTTGTGGTAATAAAATCTTTTTTGTTTTTATTTGAGGTAAGCACAATGATTTAACACAGCCTTCATCAGTCGGTTATTAAACTTTCAGGGAGCAGATTCTCCTGTCGGATCCCAAGGCATCCCCAGGCCAGAGAGGATAAGTTAATCCTTCTTTGAGTTCTGGGTCTGCCCCAGGGTCTTCCCTGAGTGGACATGTGCCAACCCTAGTCCTTTAGGAACACTATCCCTGCATGTTTTAGCTGCTTCCCCGCTCTTCAGCAAGTCTTCAGATGCTTGCAAAGCTTGGCAATCAATCAAAGCAGGGATTTATTTATTTATTTTTCACAATCAGACATTTAATGTGACTGTGAGTAGGATTACCAAAGGTTTTTCCACAAGAAGATGGCACAATCTCATGTGAAGTCCCGTGACTTTTGTGTTGGTGCCCTCTGGTTGACTGTGTGTAAAATTGTCTTGTCATCTAATCATCCTAAACGTTGGCATCCATATGATGTTACTTCAAAGCTCAAAATAATATGTACATAGTACATATGTTGTTAAAATAAAATTTGCAGTCAAATTATCCTTTTACTGATATGTATAAAGACTGCAAAGCCTGAAAATTCACTGTGTCCATGTAAAATTAGAGGTAGCTTGAGGATTTTATTCAAAAAAATGGGGTTTTTAGATTGTACTACGAACAAATAAATACGGTAAGTTCAATCCATTTACCAGCCATACTGACGCCTGCCCTTTGCATTGTGAAAATGTTTAAACAGTTACTATTTTTATTTTTTTTCTATCATAGCTTTCTGTTTGTGAAAAAAAAAAAAACTTTTCATAAGCCTGTGAAGAAAAGAATTCTATTCAAAAACAAATGTCTTTTAACTAAATATAATTTCAACGCCTTTTGTGTTTACCAGTCTAAYCACAGGCATTTATTCTCATATTAACCATCTTTTTTTGTTTTCTGCTGTCACATCTTACTACATAAGTGTGCCGGGCTCAGCACACATTCTTTAATCTCTCATCACAATCTCTTATTCTTAAACCCAAATAAATAGGTTTAGGTTCCTTCAGGTCAGGTCTAAGTTGCAGTATTAACTGTAACTCTTACAGCACTGCAGTGGCAAAACAAACTTCAAAATTTATTTTATATTGAAMTTTAATCACAAGATAATACATGTGTTTACTTTTAACCACTGTTTTAATATTTATCTCTACACACAAGCACAGCAGCAAGTAAATTCTACAAAAATACGGTTTCAAACTCCACACATCTCTTTTTAAAATAAAGCTGAACTTCTGTTGGCAAACATTTTGATTTAAGTTTATTAGGGTTGGACAACATGCCTGACAAAATGTATCAGGATATAAAATTTCATATCGGGTTAAATATTGATAATTATTGATTTGATTTTTTTTTATCTGTTTGAAATATGGACCAGAAGAAAAACAGTTGATGATGATGTTAATTTTTCTCCTTTATCCACGACTTCCTCTTGAGCCATTTCATCGTTTTCTCCTTTCACTCCGCATCATTCTTTTTTTCTTTTTTTTTTAAGTGGTTATGAGGCACGGTGGTGAAATATGGAACTGCTGCTGCTACATGACAGGTTGTTAGCTTACCAAAGAGTGAACAAGTTTGATGCCACCTACCTAGTCGGGCTTTAGTCGCTGGTTAGCTTCTATAGCTGTTGATGTTTGTTGTTTTGGGTCTGCAACTTGTAATTTCCCCCCTCTGTAAATTCTGTAAAATTTGTGCACACTGGTGACCACATTATTTTATTAAGCCAGAGGAAGACAAATAAAGAATAAATTTGCAGGCTTAGAAAGAGGAGGTGGGTAGTGATTTTATAGCTTCAGTAGCTGTTAATGTTTGTTTTTGTCACCATGACCCTCCCGGTGCATCTAACTTTTTTTTTCCCCACGAAAATTTAGTAAAATTCCGTAGGTTAAATTAGTGACATTCTATCGAATATATTTTCTATTGCGATTGATCATGCCTATCGCAAGATATATTATCGTTTTATCACCCAGTCCTAGTGTTGATAAAGTGCAGCTGGTAAGAACAGTGGTAAATAACCAACAGTCAACTTTTTTACGTGTAGATGAAAATGCAAGCAAGCAATGACATATTTGTATTTACTTTGAAATGTGACATTTACTGTATTTATACATCAGTTTATCTCAGCAAAYGTTCACAGAAGCTATTTAATTTTTTTGGTTGTCGGTGGTTTCAAACCCTTGATAGCATCAAAAAAAAAAAACTATGGAGATGATAAACATGGATTTAGTGAGACATTATAAACTATAAATACCTATAAAAAATCTTTATCCCCTTTGATGTTTCGTGTCTTTATTGATGTCATAAATTATTCTTGGTCAATATCAAATGGCCTTTATGACAAATAAACCCTTCACTGTCAAAATTAAATCAAATTCCTACACAGTAGTACCAGTTAAATGAAAATATGTAATAAAAATGATTGAAAACTCATTAAATCTTGACTAGGGTCGGCTGCCRACAAGTGTTTAACCATGGTGTTTTTCACGTAACGTTACACAAACTCCAGCTTAGATTTAATGAGTTTTCTTCAACACTGGCTTTCTTTTTGCCACTCTAAAGCTTAGACTGATGAAAAACCCAGGCAACAGTTGAATGAACAATCTCTTACWTCTCACCTTTGGAAGATTGTAACTCCTTCAGAGTGGTCACAGGTGTCCTGACGGTCTCCTTCACAGTTCTCCTTGTTGAATGGCCACTCAGTTTTTGACGATGGATGAGACAGAACTCCTGGGTGTATTTAGGGCTTTTTAAATCATTTTGTATAGTGGGTGGGAAAAAATCACAAAGAGATCAGCTATAGACCTCAGTTCACAAACATTTTGCATATTGTTAGTAAGATGGTTAGCAGTCAAAATCACAGAAAATCAAGCATTGCAAATTTTTGCCCTGCCTGCCTGCCTGCTAAAAGTTTCAGCTTTTTTGTTGATGAAAAGAAAAACAGTTGCTTTATACCTGTGGCCTTTCATGTAAAAATCAAAACAATCCCAACTTGCAAGATTATGACCTCGAACTGTGTCAGAGAGTATCTCAGGGATATGTGTAAGCAAACACATTGTGTTGTTGTCTTCATGAAATGGTTACAATATTTTAGATCAGGTCAGAAAGCACTTTTCAGTATATATATATA